ACACTGTAAGGTAGGATGAATGTATTAACTGACACTCTAAGGTAGGATGAATGTATTAACTATCACTGTAAAATAGGATGTATTAACTATCACTGTAAGGTACCATGAATGTATTAACTGACACTGTAAGGTAGGATGAATGTATTAACTATCACTGTAAGGTAGCATGAATGTATTAACTATCACTGTAAGGTAGGATGAATGTATTAACTGACACTGTAAAATAGGATGTATTAACTATCACTATAAGATAGGATGAATGTATTAACTGACACTGTAAGGTAGGATGAATTTATTAACTGACACTATAAGGTAACAATAGATTACGCAAACGTCTTTTAAATATTCCATTGTGATAGGTGAAATTGACTTTTGTGATTGTAATATAGACTTGTATGTGCTAACTTCCCTAAAAAAAGAAGGATGATATTTTCAAACGAACTATGTGGTGTAACAACAAACATTACTTTCAGCTATGTTTACTTTCGTTAGCTTTTAACGCAAGGTACGATTGAAATGTATCATCTGTTTGTGTAAAGTATATGTTATCTATCAATGTAAGGTGTGTTGACGTATTTTATCTGTTAATATAAGGCATATTGACATGTATTACTTCTCTTTGAAGGATGTAAGGTATGTTTACATATAAAAAGAAATATAGGTTCACTGTGTTGAGTAAAATACAATCCAACTACTATACATACTTTATAATATGTTAATTATTACTCTGAAATAGGTTTCTACATGAACTACGTTGGCACATGTAGACTTATTGCAAGGTACTATGACATATTTAATGATTACTGTGAAGAGGGTTCATACATGTAGACTCATTGTTAACGATTAGTTAGTAGATTAGTAAGTGTAGATTCATTCTAAGGTACCTTCACAAGTGTTAAAGATTACTATGAAGTAGGTTAGTACAAGTAGATTAATTGCTCGGTACTTTCACATTAATAATCACTATTAAAAAGGTTTGTACATATAGACTAACTGCTAGATACCTTAACATTTCTTAATGATTACTGTGGAGTAGATTGGTATGTGTAGACTGATTTCTAGGTACCTTAACATGCGATAACGATAACTGTGGAGTAGTTTAGTAAGTGTAGGTACTTTGACATATGTTAATGATTACTGTGAAGTGGGTCAGTACATGTAGACTCATTGCTAGGTGCCTTAACATATGCTAATGATATCTGTGGAGTAGCTTTGTAAGTGTAGACTTAGTGTTAGATAACTTAATATATGTTAATGATTATTATGAATTAGATTGGTAAG